CAAGCTGGTTGTAGAGGTTACGTTCAAAATAGCAGCAACTAGTATGGCAGCATTTTAGTAAATTGAGATATAAACAAACATCTGTTGCAGGAATGTAGAAATGACATCATAAAGAATGTATGCAAAAACTTAATTGAAAAAGAATGATGCAGAATTGCAGCATGACTTTAAGTCTAAATTGATTTTTTACCTTCAGAGTGAAAGTGGGATTTTTGTGCAACATTCCGATACTATAAAGTATTTAAAATGTAATGTCCTATTAATGGACCTAAAATGTAGACTCTGGGTCACCCAATAAGAATAGTAGTTACAGTAATACAGTATATGTAATATGCAATTATCTTGACAATAGTTTTATTTTTTCAACAATTTTGTCATAAAAGAGCAGCAAGATACAATGAATTTGATTCATTTTGTGTGTGTGAATCATTTAATAGGCCATTACATCTACTATATTAGACTCCATTCTCCTTTCAGAGCTTTTCATTATAAGGCTCTCTTTAATGGAAAGAAGTTTAACCTTCCCTCCCAGATAGATTGAACCCCATAACAGTGTAAACATTCTCATTATAAAATAAAATCCCCTTCCCCAAGGGCAGCACTATAATTATGTTGCAGAGTGTTGTACAAATGTTTCTCTTAAAAAATGTTGTCTCATTCTTGTCCTCAAGTTTTTATCATTTTCATTTATGAAGACAATCAATAGTACTTTTAAATTGTAATTTAATAAAATAAATATGATCTGATTATTTTTTAATTTTTGGAAGTTATTTTAATCAAGTTTGAGAAGTCATCAGTAAAATTGCTGTTGATTTATAAATAGGATAATTAGAGGCTTTCCTCCTAAGTACTGTTCACTGGCATTGTGGCTGGTTTTATTGCCTAGTCAAACCTCTTCATTCAATTTTAAAATTGCCTTTTGAATGAACTGCGCTATGAGCTTGCCAAATAGTGTCACCATTAATACCTTACCGCCTCTATTTCATTGTCCGGTCTGTAAATGCACAATAAATTGTTTGATAAGGAGGTCAATGAGGTTGTACTAGTTCCTAAGTGAATTACGGCCAAACGCTTCGGATTGTGTCACGCTCTCATTGTAGCGCTGCGCTGAAAAGGTGGTTGGTGGTGGTAGATCATTTGGTACGGTTACTCCAGGACTAGACACAAATCAAGAAAAGCAGCTTCCCCACCAAGCTTTGTATAGAGAAAAGATGAAAAAAAGTGCTCCTTATTAATCCAATTTACAATTCTGTAGCATGTCCCTTAGTCTAATTAAGAAGTCTCTCCGTAGCAGGTAGGCGCCACGTGCTCCATGAGGATGGGTTGGGGTGAAGAGGTTTGCAGGCAGGAGAGGATTTCCCTGCTTTTGAGAAGCTGCAGTGGTATTTCTGGAAAGTCCTAAAGCTTCTCCTCCCTGCATGCTGGGTGATGATAGCTCATCTCTCGTGTGATACAGCATCCCCAGCAGGTTGAGGGAGGGGATTCTCGCCCTCTGCTCCACTCTCATGAGACCCCCCCACCCCCGCAGTGCTGCATCCAGCTCGGAGGTCCTCAGCACAGGAGGGACATGGACCTGTTGGAGCGGGGCCAGCAAGGCCAGGCTGGGTGAGGCTTTGGGCAACCTGGGCTAGTGGGCGGTGTCCCTGCCCATGGCAGGGGGGGGGGACTCCATGATCTTGAAGGGCCCGTCCAACCCAACCCATTCTGCGATTCTATGATTCTATGAAGATGGTCCGAGGGCTGGAGCATCTCCTGTCCAAGGACAGGCTGAGAGAGTTGGGGTTGTTCAGCCTGGAGAGGGGAAGGCTCCGGGGAGACCTTCCAGTGCTGAAAGGGGGCTACAGGAGAGATGGGGGGGCTCTGGATCAGGGGTGAAGGGACAGGACGAGGGGGAATGGTTTTAAGCTGAAAGAGGGGAGATTGAGATGAGATGTGAGGAAGAAATGTTTTCCTGTGCGGGGGGTGAGGCAGTGTCCCAGGTTGCCCAGAGAAGCTGTGGATGCCCCATGCTGGAGGGGTGCAAGGCCAGGCTGGATGAGGCTTTGGGCAACCTGGGCTAGTGGGAGGTGTCCCTGCCCATTGCAGGGGGTGGCACTGGGTGATCTTTAAGGTCCCTTCCAACCCAAACCATTCTGTGATTCTGTGATATTTGGTGGGAATTGTTTTTTTCTGTAAGCGTAAGTGATTTTGGAGAACAATGCCCCCCATACCGATGCATCACCTTCACCCAACCCTCCTCTGCTTCAGTGCTCCTCCACGCTGAGGCTGTGGCTTCCCTCCAGGCATGTCTTCTCCCCACGCCCATCGCCCGGGCGGTTTGGAAATAGAAATGTAAAAGGCGAAAGTAAGAAACTTTGTGCTTGTTGAGTCTAAAAGAAAGTCTGTTTGTGTGTGTCTCTCCCTTTGTAACAGAAGGAATGTTTCTTATGTTTCTGTCTTCAGACAGTTGGCACACATTTCATCTCAGCAGCTGCTTTCTCTTAAAGTGCAGTAGAGTGTAGGACTGTAGTGACACTAGCATTAATACTTCACATTCTGCTATCATATGCTGTCACTGTGAAATATGGATCTAGGTTACATGTGTTTGCAGACTTTGTACTGCTGAATTATGAAAGCTGACTCCGTTGGAGGATTGTGTTGTATTCGGAGACTGTGAACTGAACAATAAATGAATGCAGGCAGAGACTCGCAGGCAGAAGCAGGATCCACCTTTTTGGCCTAATTGAGCCGATAGCTTTCAAATGTAAAATTGCCAAATAAAACTTCCTTGTTGACTTAGGTAAATATATCTAGCAAGGCATCTCAATAAGCCTCCTGTGGGTACCTTTTAGTTGAAGGCATCTCAATAAGCCTCCTGTGGGTACCTTTTAGTTGTTATCCTCAATGTTGTTTAAATATTATTTTTAAATCCCATTCTTCTGAATGGTATGAATTACTGGAAATGAGTAAAATTTACTACGAAGAGTAAAAGTGCTGCTGCTGCTGACAAAATAAATTATTGGGTACAATTAGTTATTTTGTTATCAATAATTAGTCTGTACCCATAGATATAACTCTATTTTTTTTTATATGTCTGTATGTCTATGGGAGGGATCAGGGGCTGTGTTTTCCTTATTTCTAAAGATATAAAGTTAATAGAGGTGTAAATACCAGCTGAGATGTCAGGGTTTGCGCTGCAGTGCGTGGTACCCGGGCATCGCACGTGGGTGCACAGAGGATCTGGTCCTGGCCCTGCCCAAGTCACCTGGGGCTGTGTCAGCAGGAGCTGTGGCAGTGGGAAAGTGAAGGGTAAGCAAAGCTGCTGAAAAGGAATGTTTGGAAATATTTTGAAAGGAATGCTCGGCGTAAGGAGATAATGGGGCATCTGCAAGCAGATCTTAGTACAGGCTGGTGTACGCAACTTTGTGGTGCTGAAAATGATAATGAGTGTAGTGGTGAAAGTCAGATTTGCTTGGTGCCTGAAGTTCTGCCAGTAAATTATTTAATTTCTTTAAGTGTCCATCATTCCGGTGACAGTGTTGATGCTATGACTGCACAGTGACAGTTAAACTTGATTTTCTGTGTGTAGCCATGAGGCTCAGGACGCACGCCTAGGTACAGAAAGCTGGCATCCAACATAACACCCACCGTTCATTTTCAGTTTTGCCTTTGGATATCAACGTGTATAAAAGGCCAGAGTGAATAAACAAAACATACACATGTTGGTAGTGTTGGGTTATATTGGTGATAAATGACCTTTAAATCACATTTCTTCTTGTAGCTTCCAGGTGACAGAAAACCATAATGGGCATCCTTACCAGGAACGGTCTGACACTCAGAATGATGTTAGGATGGCTGTGGACAGTGTGAAGGGAATCTCTGGTCTTACTGACCGTGTCTGTGTTTCAGCTACTTACCTGTTGTGTATTTTAGTGCTTAGCATGCGGGGGGTTTGTATCATGTACATACAGAATTTTGTGTGAAGGGGTGGCTATCACGGCTCTTCCCGTGTTAATTTTGATATTTTGTATCTGATACTTAAGTGGGAAGGTGGGGTTGTATCCGCTCGAAGCCATGCTGTTCCTGTGCATCAGGGCTTCCCAAACAACCTTTGCTATTGTCATCTCTTTCATTTAAATTGCATTCAGGTTCACGTGAAGTTTAAATACGCTCGTTGAGAATTGTTCTGGACTAGAAGCCATGCACTTCTAATTTTGTACTCTAACAGGACATTGTTCAGTTGATTGTAAAGAGGTGAAATATATAAACAATTTTACCAACAGAATTTAGCTTATTAATGAATCATGGTGGAGGTAATATCCACGTGCTCTCGTAGAGTCCTGGCTACGTGCATAATAAATCAACATGGTGCTTTTCAGGTGATCGCTCATTTTGTGTGCAGCAAGGAGCTGTATCATCAGTCTTCTCTTCCTTGCCTGTGTTCTCATAGCCATCGAGTTTTTCATACTGGGGCACAACATATAGAAACTTTGCCATTTATGCTGAAAGAGGGGAGATTGAGATGAGATATTAGTAAGAAATGTTTCCCTGTGCAGTGGCTGAGGCAGTGGCCCAGGTTGCCCAGAGCAGCTGTGGATGCCCCATCCCTGGAGGGGTTCAAGGCCAGGCTGGATGAGGCTTTGGGCAACCTGGGCTAGTGGGAGGGGTTGTCCCCCCCCCCATGGCAGGGAGGTTGGAACTTGCTGATCTTTAAGGTCCCTTCCAACCCAAGCCATGCCATGATTTTATTAAGTCTCTGGAGCTGTGTATTTTGATGGGGATGAGTCCTCAGAGCTACCTAGCTGCTGGTGTCATTCATTGTAGCATGTGCTACCGAGGTACCAGGAGACAGCAATATTGAGTTGGGATGCAGGAAATAAGAGCTTGCCTTGTGATGGAAACCAAGAGGGCTATTTGAACATTACCATGAAAATACACGGGTTTGGATTGTTCTAGCTTCATGATATTCTGGCAGTTGAAGATTTATGCTGCCGCTATTTTCTGTTCCTGGCCCTTTGCAGGGTGAAGGACCTCCCATGTGTGACTGGGAGTCACTGGTCTTCATCACGCCTCGTAAACATAAAGATCCTCAGTACCTTTTATCATCAGTAGGATCCTCAGAGCTGATCTAGCATGCAGTTTTTCAGAGATTACTGTGTAACGCCCCAGAGGCATGGTGAGCAAAGTTCTCAAGCCCCAAAGGACTGAACTATGAAACCGCATTTCCAAATAGATTAAAAATATTTGTCATCTGCTGATTTGTCGTGAAAGGCTGAACAGAAGTCCTTTACACATGTGCGCTCATGCATGCACACACACTTCAGCTTGTAGGAACCCAGTGTGCTCAGTTGTTTTATTTACTAATAATCAAGATTTTAATATTTCTGGAGCAGTCTAGATTCTGGATCCTGCTGGGTCAGGCTCAGAAGGGCAGTCCTCTTCAGCCGGCACATGTTCTGGTCCTGTAGTGGATTACACCTGCCGTTAGATCAACTGGCATGGCTTCAACCCAGGGACCTTCACAGAGTGAGTCCCAATCGTGTTTTCTCATTTAAAGCCAGCAGGATATCCCGCTGTGCCTGCCTCTTAATTAGAGGATATGCTGATGGCCAGTCCCATTCATTAATGATCAATACTCTTGTTTTAAGTCACAGACATATTTAGTTTTCAAATAAAGGTTTGTATTATGGGCACTGCTGTGTCCAGCAAGAATTTATTTTTTTTAACTTTTCAAAATATAACCAGAAAATGTGACAATTACAATGCAGACCTAAAGGCCCTTTCCAGAGCAAGTGCAGTAAGTGCATTAAGCATATGGAAGTGTTTTAACGATGACATGGATTTGTTGACTCTGAAAAATAAGCATCTAATAGAGGCGCTGTTTTATTGACGAAGCCAAGCAACTGAGTAGATGCCTACTTTGTGAATTACCATGGTTGGGTAGCATGTATGCCATGAATCTTGTAACCGAAATAACAGCGTAATATTGAGCTGAATACGGAGATTTTTCTGTCTGGTTTGTTATACAGCTCAGAGAACGAACTTTCCTTTTGACTGTCATCTGTTCCCAGTAATGCAGTCTGGCGCAGAAGACGTGGAGCTCGACGTTTCCAAATGGTTTGTTTGATCAATCATGCCTGATGGTTTGTGGACCAGATCTTCATCAGGCTTAAAGGGCTGCAGTTCTGTAGAAGTCAGTGACAGCAGTTTATATCGTCTGAGAGTCCAATTTCTTCTTCTGGCCATATAGACTTGATTGAACACTATCCATAGGCTTAAAAATTACAAATTTATTTCTCAATTTTTGCAATGCTGTGTGTTGATGTCAGTAGTATCATAGAAATCATCAAGGACAATTTTTTTTCCCCTAGTAATTTGAAGGAAAAAACTGGTGAATGACAGAGAGTACAGGATAGCTTCAGAAGTAATGTTGAAACTTAACTTTGGTGAATGGCAAGTAGGACAAATGTGCAGTTATTATCTATTTAATTAAATGGTTCATAGGAGTCAAAGTGTTTTAAATACATCATATAATACAGGAGGTCAGAAACTTAAGAAACCCAGTAATTTAAATCTGTATTAAATAATAGGTAAATGAGGGTCTTCTTTTAAGGCACTCAGTCAAAATTTACAGGAGGACTGTAATCTCAAACAGGAAAGAAGACTTGAAAAAGAGCCAGCAGAAAAAAGGGTTTTTTGTTTTGTTTGTTTGTTTGTTTGTTTGTTTTCCAGTAGGGACTGTGATTTCTGTTACCCTATGATGCATAAAGGAAACTTGGAGAAAAGTTATTGGTTTTGCAATACTTGTTTCTTGTTAATATTTTTTCTGCTTTTTAAATCTTAGGTTGTAAAATATTTAGGCTATTCCCACCCAAACACACATGTGGAAGATGTGTGTTAAAGCACATTCTTTTTCATCTGTTAAACTAAACTACAGAGGCTTATTGAGACAAAGAGGAAAATCTTTCATCTGACTTGTTCTTACTAGCTAGACAAGATCACAATTTGTTAATAAACTAAACCCCATGAAAGCCTCACCCAGAGAGCACTTTTGCACTCAGCTGCTCAGTTTTCCCATTCTTTTTCCTTGGGATGATGTGGTTATTTCACTCCACTTCTCTAGGCACTGTGCAGTCTCCTAGGACAGACAAGACCTGAATTTCTGATGTGGAAAAGCATGATATAAGCATGCTGTATGTTATGGAAAAGAAAAAAAATAAATTGGTTGATTTTTAATTTTCCATGCACCTTTAGCCTTTAAGAAAAAAGCTTTGACTATTTAGAGATCAGAGTTTTAAATATAAGATGCGTGGCAGTGTTGCTTTTAGATATTTAGATTATTTTCTACTTTGTAGCATTCTAAATTCTGTTCCTCAATGAGACGCTGCTGCATTTTTATTTTTTTTTATTTATTTTCTTATATACTGATGTGTGATTTACCCCTGGAACTGTGTTTGGAGGTGAAATGCCACTCTGTCCTCGTAGTGAAATGGCATCTGAGTTTTTAAATAGGTATGTAAA